TGCACTAGAAGCTCTCCGGTCCGTGCCATCGAACAGACCCGTCGAAGGCAGCGCGTCCGAGCCCCAAGATGGTCAGCGCCACGGACCCCAGAATGGTGAGGTTCATCAGGCATCCGTCGTCCGGGTGGCAAGAGCGGTCTTCGTCTGCAAAGTTGGTCAGTCGGGGCTTGTCTTAGTTACGAAAGAATTTCATGTCTGACGAGGAACTGCGGTCAAGGCCCAAAGGATTTTCCAGGCAAGGAGTGGGGGGGGGGGGGGGCGCTCCACGCCATGTCACAAATCCATGATGCTCAACAGATCCGGTTAGCGCAGCTGTCATCCTCTTCGCCCAGGACTTATGGTCATTTTGGCAATGTGTAGTATTACCACGACGAGACGCTGGACAGCCATTGCTGCAATGGTCGTACTGGGCCTGCCGTCCTTACCAGTGTTAATGTCTGCACTCTTTTTATCCGAGATCCAGGCATACTTCCGATCCTACAGAGGCCTACAAGTTTGTTATTACTACAACCGAGTATGTCGTCCTTTGGGGGGGCTGCGCTGTGTCACGAAAGTCATCATAGACGGGTTCACATATTGCAGCTGGAATATTTTGCAGACATTCGACCCCCCTCAGTGGTGATTAAGTGTTGATTTGAATTTCTATTATGGTCCAATGCATATGTCCAAAGTTTGCTGTGCCCGCTAGCTCCTCCATCCTGTGTAGGAACCCGCCGCCGTCGCCTCCAAAAGCCCACGATGGCCCAGGTCGGGTCATTGGATTGTGGGTCGTTCATCAATGAAGCACAAGATGCAACGAACAGACTCAATCAGACGAAACCTTGAGGCTAACATTCCCGCTCCTCTATATGAGAACTACTCAGGATTTCAGCACTGACATGGAAGCTTTGATGAGCCACCCCATGGCAAGCACGACTCCTGGCCTGGCTCCTCTCGCCACACTTCTTTCCATCGTTCGTTTTAAAGCGAGCGCTATTGCCTCGCTTGCTGCCTTCTGCTGTGAACAACATGTAGGCGTTAACATGGATATTCCAACAAAACGAAGCATATTTCATCATACAAGCTATCCGCTGCCTTCACGTCAATCACTGAAGTGCTGGCTGGTATCCCTACCATGTCGATATGACCACGGAGATGACGTGACCTACTGATCTGTGCATCAGCCGTCGAATATGTGGCTGAAAGTGATCATACATGATTGCTCCTTGCCTCAACTCCACGTGAAACCGAGATCGATAATCGTCTAGATGTCCTGCGTCCTGGACACAGGCAGCAAAGGACCATCTCGCAACCCCCAAGGTATATATAGTGTTAATCATTTCTTTCGGTATGGGCATGGCCGAGCACGCAAGTCCAACTCGTGTTGAGGAAAGCATGCGACTATGGCACGCATTCGGTTCATATTAGCACTGATAGGATGATCGGTGAGGACTTCTCAACTCGCGTCCCGTTGCCAAGTACAAGCGTATCCTGGCCCTCCAAGATCAGGTTGAATATGCCTGCCTCAAGTGAGAGAGTGCGCCTGCCTGACCCAAGTCTCTCTTGACGGTGCTCTGACGTTGTTCAGCGTAAGGCGCATCCAGCAGGTACCAGGTAGGTGCCGTTCCGGTCTTGCAAGGCAAGAACTCCCGGCGGCAGAGCTTTCCGGCTACCTAGGCAGGTGCCAGGCCACCATTCTTCTGGATTCACAGCGAGTACTCATGAAGCTCATGGGTAGCCCTCGAGGATAAGACAAGTCATGAATCATCTGAGCATCTTTGGCTCTCCTTCTTTTTCTTTCTAAAGTAATGCTGCATACCCCCCATCAACCTACAGCCCGCCATCATGGCTTGAGACTGTCAGCACCGCCCTCAAACTCACTGCAGTCGTACTCGTCAGGGTACTTCTCCAAATGCGCCTTGAGTTGGGCCATTTGATTCTTCAGATCCGGCGTCAGCTCCTCGTAGACGTCTTCAAACATCGAGCGCATGGGCGGCTTCTTCATAGCCTCGGCCTCCCGGAACCCCTTGAGCACCTCGCTCCTCGTCTCGTCGCGGCACGTCTTCTCCTTGGCCCTCGTCCCAGATGCCCCTGGCCTCCATCCACTTTGCGCAGCCGGCGTGATGGGGGTTGTCGGCGCCGCTTCCAGGTCCTC